ACATGGCAGAAAGATAAAGATGCTTAGATACAATAGAGGCGGTAAGTATTACCTCAAGGAATGTTGAATAGTTTCACAACTGACACCTCCTAGGACATCATAATTGAATGGTGTGGCTGAGGGGCGTAATCGAACCTTGTTAGACATGGTTCGTTCCATGATTAGTCGAGCTTCGCTTCCAACATCTTTCTGGGGGTATGCCTTAGAGACTGCCGCTCACATTCTTAATCTTGTCCTAACAAAGAAAGTTGCCAAAACACCTCACGAGATATGGACAGGGAAGGTTCCCTCGTTAGCGCATATCAAGGTTTGGGGTTGTGAAGCTTTCGTTATACGAGAGACTCATGACAAGCTTGAACCTCGAAGTGAGAGATGTATTTTCATCAGCTACCCATGGAAGTCCTTTGGATATTTGTTCTACAGACCTAGTGAGAACGTGGTCTTTGTAGCACGAAGGGGAGTCTTTCTAGAGAGAGAGAGAGAGAGAGAGAGAGAGAGAGAGAGATCCTATGCAAAGAGGACAATGGGAGTTCAATTAATCTTGAAGAGATTCAAGAGTCAAACGATGAAGGAAATTCTGAAAATGTTAGGGTTGAACCTGAGGAAGAAATTCCAGTTGAACCAATTGACGAGTCATTACCTCTTAGACGTTCTAGTAGAGTTAGAATGTCACCTGAGTTTTATGGTTTCCATATTACTACAGATGGTGATACGTTTATCAGTGATAGTACATTGGTAAATTTGGATGAACCAGCTAACTAAAGGAAGCCATGGCAGGCCCTGAGGCTGTAAAATGGAAAGAAGCTATGGACAACGAGATCAAGTCCATGTATGACAATCAAGTTTAAAATTTGGTTGATAATGTACCAGGTCGCAAGACAGTTGGGTGCAAATGGATCTTCAAGAAAAAGACTGACATGGATGGAAAGGTACACCTTCAAGGCTCGACTGGTTGGGAAGGGCTTCACTCAAACCCCAGTGGTTGACTATAATGAGACCTTCTCACCAGTGGCCAAGATAAATTCTATTAGGGTAATGCTATCCATAGCTTCATTTCATGACTATGAAATTTGGCAGATGGATGTTAAAACCACTTTCCTTAATGGGAAATTAGCTGAGGATGTTTACATGTGTCAGTCAGAGGGTTTTGTGGATGCAAAGTATCCAGATAGAGTGTGTAAGCTTGAGAAATCAGTCTATGGATTGAAACAAGCTTCTCGCAAATGAAATCTTTGCTTTGACGAGAAAGTTAAAGAGTTTGGCTTTTCTAGAAGTGAAGATGAATCTTATGTATATGTCAAAGCTAGTGGGAGTATAATAACCTTCCTGGTATTGTATGTCGATGACAAACTTCTTACAGGAAACGACATTCCAACCTTGCAAGAGGTTAAGTCTTGGCTTGGAAAGTGTTTCGCTATGAAGGATCTGGGAGAGGCTGCTTATTCTGGGGATAAGGATTTTGAGAGACAGGAGTAAAAGGCTAATTGGACTTAGTCAAAGTACATACTTCGAAAAAGTACTAAAGCATTTTAGTATGGAAAATTCCAAGAAAGGAGAACTGCCTATACAGAGTAATACCAAACTAAGTAAGACTCAAAGCCCGAGTACTGATGTAGAGATAGCAGAAATGAGTAAAGTTATATATGCTTCTGTTGTTGGATCTATCATGTATGCTATGACATGTACTCGCCCTGATGTGGCTTTTTCTTTGAGCATGGTTAGTCATTATTAGGGAAATCCAGGTAGAGCTCACTGGATAGCGGTTAAGAATATTCTTAAGTATCTGCGAAGAACTAAGGACTGGGTCCTTATGCTTGGTGGCAATGATAACTTAAGAGTAACTGGGTATAGTGACGCCAGCTTTCAGACAGATAGAGACAACTTCTATTCTCAACTTGGCTGGGTGTTTACCCTGAATGGAGGAGCCATAACCTAGAAAAGTTCCAAACAGAAGACGGTGGCTCAATCTACTTGTGAATCAGAGTACATAGCAGCAAGCGAAGCATCGAAAGAGGCTATTTGGTTGAAAAACTTCATCGGAGATCTTGGAGTTGTTCTAGCCATCAAAGAGCCAATGGAGATTTTCGGTGATAATGAAGGGGCGGTTGCCTTAACAAAGGAACCAAGAGATCATGGCAGATCAAGACATATCGACAGAAAATACCATTTCATCAGACATAGAGTAGAAGAAGGTCACCTCGTCGTGAAGTGGGTATCATTAGAAGAGAATCCTGCAGATCCCCTCACAAAGGGTCTAAGTAGGGTCAAGCACGTTCAGTATGCTAGGAGCATTGGTCTGAAGAATGATATTAGTTTTAGTAGTTAGATAGTTAGTTTTGAAACTTGTAACAAAATAAATGTAATTGACTTTTTGGTGATTAAATAATGGAGATTTATTTATGAGTTGGATTACTACCTTATGTCTATTATTTATTTTAAGTTTCATTTTGCATGTTTTACTTCCCGAATAATTAGATTGTTCAAACATCCACAGTCAATCATACTTTTGGAAGTAAGTAGTGAATCAAGACTGTCATGAATTGGATTGTAGATTGTCTAAAGAGTTTTGGACATGGCAATAGTGTTGCTACAATATTCATGAGTACTTTGAAATAGATATTAAGTATTGGATTAACCAACGCTCAGAGAATTACTTCATGGAATTTATAATGAGTAATTTTTAGACGATAATATCTTATAATCTTTAAACATAGATATATGAGTTGTTATTTACAAATTGGTTGTGCATTGATGATACGTAAACACATCAATAACTTGATGTTATAAAACGTATTGTTGTGCATGATTTGATGAGTAAATAGTGCAAGCATATAAGTCAAAGTTTATCTGTTCTTTTTTCCCTAATGGGAAAAAGTGATATTTTTGGGCCTCTCGATGATTTGGTGTTGACTTATAGTGTCGGGCCCGGCCAGGACTGAATTGATGTGTTCGATTAGTATTTCTTTGTCATTACAAATCATAAATCAGGAAACAAAGTATTAGACAATGAGATTTATTTTGTTCCATGTCTTATATCCAAATGATATCTTACAGAACGGATGATTATATGATCACTTATCTTAGGATATGTAACTGACTAGGTCAGAGTTCGACAACAGCTTTTGAGAGCTACAATTTGATGATCAGTTTAGAAGAATATACTGACAATTATAGTTATTAGACTTATCCAGGTGGGATACTGTTGGATTAGGTGTCTAGGTATATACTTAAATTGATAGTAGCACAGTCCTTTTGAGTGACCCTCAAACCTAGCAACTTGACAGGATGATCTTTGGAGAGAGAGGTTGATTTATTATTTGATTAATAAATTGAAATAAATAAGTTTTTATATATTATGAGAATAATATATTAATTAGAAATAGTAATATTTAATCAGAAATTATTTGGAATTAATTTTAGGATTAAAACAATTAATTAAAAGTGCAGGGACTGAAGTGAAACTGTTCAATAGTTGAGCAAGAGGCATTCTAGAACCCTCTATAAGGCTTGGACGGTTTTCTATGAGCCATAGGGTTTCTAGAATTATCCATGGTGGATAATCAGGAAAGTGGATAATTACCCGGTTTAAGATAATCTTGGATTTGAGCTTTTTCTAGGGTTTCCTGACTGCACTATAAAAAGAACCTAAACCCTAGAATTTTCGGCCACCTGTTATTGTGAAGAGCCAGCCGAATTTAGCCGAATTTCTGAGCCTCCCTCCTCACTCTCAATTTTATTCCTTTTGCTAGTGTTGGGTGTGAACCACTAGAGGCACGACATTTGTGGTGCTTGCTCCCAAGGCTTCTACAACCCAAGAATCTTTGTTATTAGTCAATAACGATCAAGGTATGTTTCTCCTAACCCTAATTAGTTAATTTTCGAAAATATGCTAGATGTTCAAGGGTTTCTTATTTGTTGTTCAAAGTTGGATGTTCAATTAGAGAAAACATAGATCAAGTATTAGGGTTGCATGCGCACATAAGAAATTATATGTTTTGCAAAATACCCATCAGAATATGGCAACCTGTTCATAATACTAAAAATAAAAGTTAATATAGGAAATTCTTTTGTAAAAATGATAATCACCAAAAAACAGAACAATTATATACATGGATGTATAATTACAGCTTCAACTAATAGGTGAAAGTACTTACACCGTCAAGAGTGTCTATGTGCTCATGTGAAAGTATAAAAGACTCGAACACCCCTACGGTCGGATGTCAAATACATCCCTCATATATTGAAATCAAATTAGTTATTAAAAATAAAAGATTAAAAAGAATGTGATGATAGGGGTAAAATCGTAAAACACGTACTCTCCTCCTTAAATAGGTTCAAAGATCATATGAAAGAATTAGCCTAGTGATGAAGTAGTCCCAACAACTATGGATTTTTCCTCCCCAATTCTTGGAGCATTGGTGGTCAAGAATAGCAATGTACATAAAAGAACATCAACAATTAACATAAAATATATTAATTATCGATAATTTATGTTGATCAGCTCGGACCTGGTTATAGTGTCAGTGTTGGCAACATCAATCTTTCTAAAAAGAGTGGCTAAAAAGAATGATGGCAATATGCATATTTCCTTTGTAACAAGCTTAGATTCTATTAATCCAAAAGTTACCACTTGTATCAGCGTAAAAGTCATTCAAACCATCTATGTTATAGCCTAATATCTTTGTATACGAAAGAAGCTAATAATATTTGGCACTTTTATACTTATAAACAATTGTTAGTGTTTTAACAGTTTCTTGTTTTCTTCTAATTTATCATAAAAACATTCATTTAACTTTTCATGATTTAGAGGAATCCATCACAAAGATGGAATTAAGGATAAGGTTAAAATATCTTACTTTTTTCATAAACATAAATGGTAGAGCTTGATGTCACCTACCCTTTAGTTTGTCCTAAGGCTTGCGGAATAGACATCAAAACTAGAAGTTAATCAAATGCTCTTGGAAAATTAAACAAATAGAATTATCACAACAAATTAAATGCTCTTGGAATCGATATCAAAAAACTAAAAGTCAATCAAAGGAATCAATCAAATGCTCTTGGAAACTAAAACAATTAAATACAAGACGGTAAGTTGTGTATTTGAAGATCTCAATCAAACCACCTTATGAGATTGTGTAACTGATCAATGCTTCATAAATGGCAGAATCCATATATGCATTTGTGTAGCTGATTTCTTCAGAGATCATAATCTTGGCCATATACCTAATGGGTTGATTTCTGCATATATTTGTGTAGCATTAGATACTCCTGGAACTTTTTGCGTACATTTAGAAATGAAGCAAATTTAATATATCATATATATGCATTTGTGTAGCTGATTTCATATAAGATCATAATCTTGGCCACATACCTAATCTTTTCATTCAGGCCAAACATTTTGCCAATGAATTCATCTCTGGAATAATAAGCATAATAAGTGAAGAAATGAGATGCAATGCAAAAACAATGGCAAACTAAATAATGGGAATAGCAATGGGAACCCGCCCTAAAGCCCCTTCTTCATTATGAAGATGATTTCACATAGTATTAAGAACAAATATGTTGGATTAATTCAAAACACTAACATTTAATAAACATGAGAATGAAGTAGAAAACAAAAAGAAATTAAACGAGTGTAATCAAACACCTTAAGTGCCTCCAAATTAGATCCAACTGCAGATACTTCATCCTGAATCAAAGAAACCTGTCCTTGAAGACATCCAAATGCTTGTAGCTTAGAAGTTTCAATCAATACATTTATTTAAGCTAAACAGGAAAGGTTAGAGATTGGAAATTAAATCCGTAGATAATTAGACATAATTATTAAACATCTAAATATTGGATTGAGGATTCATTCATGGCCAATTCAACTTTGTAACCTTTTAGTTATTGTTCAATACATTCCTTCAAAAGCTTGGCTTCTTCAAGTTCTAAATTCACAGAGTCAAGTTCCGATTGAAGTTGTTGAATTTCCCGCTTCAGTTACTATCTTACGTTTTGTCGATTTGCAAGCTCGGATTAGTTTTTTGAAATTACAAGAGTCGATGAAAACAAAAACGATCGTAATGTTTGACGAGATGTAGATTAAACTGTATACCTCGTTAAGATTTTTCTGGAACGACGATGACGGAGATAACAATGGAGTGACCGGTGGCGGCAGACCGGCAGTGGCGAGTCGACGAGTCGATTTCTTGAGCGCATCAACCCTAATCGATCGATGTTTGCTCTTCGTTCGATTTTCGTGGTGTTGACGATTTTGAAAGAATAGGGTATACGAGGGCTTTCAGGAATAACACCAAGGAGGGAAAATGTGAAATAAAAAACAAATTAACACATATAGGTTATTTTGGATATAAATGTGGTGAGTTAAATCACAACTTTTTTTATCGATTATTTCTTAATTAGTTTATTATTTTATTTGTTTAAGTTTTTTTAATGAATATAAAATATTGCCAGGGATGAAGATAATACCAAGGAAATAGGAGGAAGAGAAGGGGTACTTTTAGGTACTAGATTTGATGAAAGAAGTTGTTACACTGAAAAATATTTATTTACATTTTCTTAGTGAAATTGTTAGATAAATCAACTCATAAAAAAGTTAATTTAGACATTAAAATATATCGTGTGTCTTTTTTTTCAACTTTTAGACATTAACGAATAAATTCACGAGACATTTTTTACTAATGTAAATCATTGATACTTTTCGAAATATGATAGACTTTTTATGACAGACTTTTTTATGCATGTCATAAAACAGATGTACGTCGTAATTCGTCTGTCAAGGAAAGCCCTTTTTCTAGTGGTGAAATCTTTAAAAAACATCTTGATACTTGAGAATCTTCAAATGAATTCATCTTCCGGGTCCCCTATTTCAATGTACTCTCTCTTCAGGACCTGTAAAGACAAACATAGTTAAACATACACACACATTGTCAAAAAGAAAGCGTATAAAGAGAGACATAGGTGACGATAATTTTTCTGAGAGTTCTAGTGTAGTGATGTACAAGGTATTACCCTTTTAATCATTAACCCTTTTTATAATGATAACTAAAGAATCTTTTGATAACTTAAAAATTATGATATGTAAACAAATATTCTCTTCTCCAAAATAATAACAATAGTGATAAAAGCTAAATTTTGTAAAAGTATTTTTACTAAAATCTTTTTAAGAGGAAACATCTTGTTTTTTGTTCAGAGACCAAATCCGTTGTTCCCTTGGACATATAGTAATATTATAACGACTTGTTCCGAATCGCTTTCTTAATTTGGGACTGTGGCTTGAGGATAGGTTATCATAAGGCTTAGGGCCTTTGGAAGAGAGAGATCTAAACCCATTTAGGTATGGATAATGTAATTTAGGTGATCCGGGAGCTGGGTTATGTCTTGAAGCCAAAGGGTATATCGGTAGAGTGGCAGTTCGAGCTCTTTATGAGTTTTGGGTTTTAATCGGAAGGCTTTAAGGCTTGGGCGTGTTGTTAGGGGCGTAGGGCTTCTCGCCGCCTCTTCCTGGATATAAGGTTCGTCGGGAACGGACCTCGGATGAGGAAGATATGACACTTTGAAGTTATTGGCAATATTGGTCCTTAATGGAGAAAAGTGGCAAGAAGATACCATGCATGCAAGGTGGCCAGCACGGAAGTACGCCCAGTGTAAGTTGGGGGTACGCCCAACATAGAGGAGTAAATGGATGCGGGTGTTGGAGGCGTACGCCCAGCATACGTTCAGAGTCCCTTTTTAGGGTTAAGCACTATATAAAGAACATTATGACTCAAACCCTAGCCTCCTTATCAGCCTCTCAACCTCAGAAACCCTAGATAGCCTCTCATCCTTCATCCTTGTGTGTGTTTGGCTTTGTGAAGTTCTTGGTGGTGTTTAGAAGCTTGAAAGAGGAAAGAAGAACTTAGAGAAGAAGAACTTGAGTAGCTTGAGCTCAAGGATCCGAGATAACATCACCATTTGGCACTCATTTGAGGTAAAAAGCTTTCAACTTGCCTCATGAATGCTTAGATCTCTGTTAATGGAGTTTTGGACCTTTTTAGGTCCTAAGAATGGATTTTTATGATTCAACTTCGTTTCTAGGCTTAGGGTTGCCACCCTTAGTGCTATATGAGTCCCATTAGCAGTAAAGTTTTGATCTTTAAGGTCGTTTTGTGGTCATGCATGAGTTCTAGCCATTTCCATGGAATTTAGTTGTCACATTTCAAGTTTGGGCCCATTGGTGGGTTGCAAGCCACCAAGTAATCGACTTTATGTATTAAGACGTTGAAGAGAACTTGGATCTGTGATTATCGCCTTTGGAATGGAGTATTAAGTGCTTAATGGGAAAAGTGGATTAACAGAGTAGTACTGTCACAACTAGCAAATTTGGATTAGGAAGTTGGCCCTTGTACAAGAAAAACTCTTTGTGTAATCTTGTAACATTTCATTTAGTGAAATTCAAACGTCAATGATATTAAGTTCATGCTTGCGTACATTGTCATTCAAGTCGAAGCAACCACGTGAAGACCCAAAAACTCGATACAATATGAAACATCCCAAAAATACAACCCAAAAAATTTTCGTTTAAAACTTAACTAAACCATAATATTAAATATTAAAAGATAAATCCATGGATCATACGTCTCAAAATGTCATAATAAGTTAATCAAATCAACTGATGTCAAAACATATCAAAATGTCTGAATAAAACTACCAGGATAAACTGAAGCTGTGGTGTGTGCCCTGCCATCATCCCGAGCTCTTCCCCTTACTAGCGGAAGTACCTGAAACCAAAAACTGAAACTGTAAGCACAAAGCTTAGTGAGCTCCCCCAAACTACCACATACCATACAATAGCATATAAAGCAACTACTGGGCCTTGCCCACTGCATCGGACCGATGTCCGGAAACTGCATCGGACCGAAGTCCGGAACTAACCAGGGCCTAGCCCTCTGCATCGGACCGAAGTCCGGAAACTGCATCGGACTGAAGTCCGGAACTAACCAGGGCCTTGCCCTCTGCATCAGACCGAAGTCCGGAAACTGCATCGGACCAAAGTCCGGAACTAACCAGGGCCTTGCCCTCTGCAACGGACCGAAGTCCGGAAGCTGCATCGGACCGAAGTCTGGAACTAACCAGGGCCTTGCCCTCTGCATCGGACCGAAGTCCGGAAACTGACTGAACATAACATAGCATAATCATAACTACTAGCATAAACACATATACTGCATATTGCATCGGACCGAAGTTCGGAACACATAACACAAAGACATGCTTGAATCACAAAGACATCAAGCACACTGAACCTCTACCCGCTTATGCTCGTCGAGTTTGGCAAAGGCTCGACGAGTTCTTCTTTGATACTAATATCTAGTTCATCTTCATCTGACTCGCCGAGTTGTATGAACAACTCGTCGAGTCCTCCTTCATCCTATGGATGAGATCAGTCCTTGACTCGCCGAGTTATATGAACAACTCGTCGAGTCCCTCCACTACTAAACCTGAGCCTTAACTCACTGAGTCTATGTCTTACTCACTGATTCCACCTTAAACTCTCAAATGGGGAAAATCGGGGACTCGCGACTCGACTCGTCGAGTCTGAAGAACAAATCGCCGAGTCCCATGCATGTCATTACTAAACAGTCGATTCTGCTCGAATCCAGTGCATTCCATTCATAGATCTGGGCTCCTAGGGCTGGTTTTTCACGTAAAGTTTCTAACTTTACGTGCATGCATGCTAAAATGAAACTCAAAAGCTCAAAACAAGCTAAAGGAAGGAATCTAAGCTTAGAATGGAAACTTGGCTCAATAAAGGTGGCAACCTTGAGCTTAAGAGGCTCTGGAAAGCTTAGATCTGAAGTCCATTCATCATATTATCACTTAATTCGACCTTAAAGTCTAGAAAGGGCTCAAAATCCACAAAAGTAAACTTCTCAAGAGATCTAATTGATAAAAAGCAAAGATTCAAGCTTGATACCTCAAAGAGGACTGAAATGCAACCAGAAATCCGAATCTACTTGCTTCCCTTGAATACTTTTCTTTTATATTCTTCCCCTAAATCTCCAAAATGCACCAAAACCTTTACAAGTGAGAAAATGCTCCAAAAATGCTTAAGGACGGCTAGGGTTTCGTATGGGACTCTTTGTGGGTGAGGGAGGCTGGTCGTGGGGCGCATAAGGTGATTAAATAGGGTGCAAACCCTTGAAATTAGGGTTTCATCCAGACTGGCAGACTCGCCGAGTCCGGAATATGGACTCGTCGAGTCGCCAACTTAAATCGCGTGCAACTCCCGACTCTACTCGACGAGTCGGGCTACTGACTCGTCGAGTATCTCTTAAGGAAATCAAAACTACTTATTTAAATCACATACCAGAAAATGGGGCGTTACACAATAAGCCCAATCCAATCATCTTTGGGCCTTAGCCCAAAAATCCTCAACCCAAAACCTTTATTGGACCAATATTTCGTTATTGGGCCGATAACCTCTCATTGGGCCCTAATGGGCCGAAAACCCCCAATTTATTTGGACCAACACCCTCCCTAGAACATTTTGGGTTGTCATGTGGGCCGTCATGTGGGCCAAGGTCCAATAAGCCAAATCCAATCATCTTTGGGCCTTAGTCCAAAAATGCCCTCCCTACTTTCATTTTCAAATTTCACACACTCTCTTCATCCTTCTCTCAAGTCTCCATTGTTCCTCTCAAGAGATTTTCGAGTTCTTCATCATCAAAGGCTGATTCTTAAGCTCCTTGGTAAGTCTATGATAAACTCCATTGTTTTATTTCACGTTTTTACAAAGATCTTTCCTCTTACAACTCAATTTTCGTGAATATGGATCTTAGATCAACCACCATTTTGAGATCCCTTCCAAGCTCAAGTTAGGATTCAAAAATTCTTCATCTTCTTCATCTGCATCTTCGTTTTCCGATCCAAGATCGCAACTGGGCTCTCAATATAATTCAAGCTGCTATCAACCTGAATATCTTGCAAGGGGACTACTGTTGACTCGTCCACCAAACACTTCCTCAACTGAGAAACATGGAAAGTGTTGTGGATCTGGCTAAGCTCTGCTGGAAGATCCAACCGATAAGCAACCCGACCCACCCGGGCCAAAACCCTAAAAGGACCAATGAACCTGGGGCTCAGCTTGCCCCTCTTCCGGAACCTGATAACACCCTTCCAGGGTGATACCTTCAGGAGGACCATATCGTCCACCTGAAACTCCAAATTCGAACGCCTCCTGTCGGCGTAACTCTTCTGCCGACTCTGTGTAGTCTGCAGTCTGCTACGGACCTGCTGGATCAACTCTGTGGTCTTGAGTACCACCTCTGTACTCCCCATGACTCGCTGACCGACCTCGCCCCCACAGATTGGGGTCCTGCACTTCCTCCCGTAGAGCATCTCGAAGGGAGGGCGGTCTATACTGGAGTGATAGCTGTTGTTATACGAAAATTCCGCCAACGGAAGATACGTATCCCGACTGCCACCAAAATCTAATACACATGCCCGAAGCATGTCCTCGAGAGTCTGAATCGTCCTCTCGCTCTGTCCATCCATCTGAGGGTGGAAAGCGGTGCTGAAATGGAGACGAGTACCCATCTCGTCATGGAACCGCTTCCAAAATCTGGAAGTAAACCAGACATCCCGGTCTGATACTACTGATACAGGCACCCCAGTAGTTTCGCATCACACGCACATCAGATTTCCGCATTACATGATTCATGGGATTGTACTCTGATTTTATCACTATTTGGTGATATGTTTTTGGAGACACATTGTTATGGTTTTATGAATTGATAGGACATTGACAATGTTTTTGGTAAACCATTTTATAAGTTATTCAATTAAAAAACAAATTTTTGGCCTTAAAATTTGG